AGGGCACAATAATTGCCAAGAACGTGTTATGAGCTTTCTCCTGCTTCAAAACCGCTGCCCTTCTGGTACAAATAGGTGCGGTATCTACAAGAACATTATGTAGTTGGAACAGCATAAGCTCACTCTTCTGCTCAACATTATGAAGTACACGTCCTAGCTCGTCCTTTGGCAGGTGCAGTCTTTCCATGGATGCAGGTTGCTTGTGAATTCTGTATTTGATTCGTAGCTGTCTGATATCGGGGTCTATAGCCTTGAGGTTTTCCGGCTCCAGCTTGAGCAACGCGACCTAATAATTTATCAAAGCTATGACGTGCTCATTCACTGCCTTGATAAAGTTCTTGCCATTTAAAGCAGTACTAGCTAATCGTTCAATTATCACTAAAATCTCTGCACGGACTTTAACGTAGCTTTCACGGGTAGGTGCACTAGTCCTGTCTTTTACTATTCCAAGGTACTTATACCCTTAAATTCCTTCCAATAACGCCGGTTTATCAGCGCATACCTCGGTATTAGAGACTGACTTTGCTGAATTTACTTCTAGCCTACCACATCAAGAAATCTTTCAACTTCCTCTGCCATAAATTTCATGATATCTCATCGGTCGCAAAGATTTTCAGATCATCCATAAACAACAAATGATTCGTTATTGCATTCCATAATCAGTTGGAACCACTACCTTTAGGTATCCTATAATGGGCCGGTGGCTCAATGGGTCCATGCACACGACGAATAGCAGCGCAGAAAGGCTATCATCTTGGAGAATTCGTCGTTCTATTTCCTTCTCCATTGCTTTTCAATGTAACCGACCATCTGGAGGTGATGCTTCTCAGAAACCTGCTGATTCACAATGGCATGTTAAGCCTTTCAATGCACTTAATCAGGTATTTATGATTAACTATATCGAACGCTTTCTTGATGTCATACCACGTTGTGTAAAGCTGGTTAACAATTTGAAAAACTTGTTGTGATAAACAATAAGTTTATTTATACAAATAGAAAAGGTCCCAAAGAATTTACTCTATCAACGAATTATTACAAGTAATCGAGTAGTTGAAATCAGTATTGAGACGAAATATTGTTAGCGTTGGGATGAAAGATTTATGTATGCAGTGAATTTGCATGTATTTGCGTGTGTGTGCTTTCTGGTCAATTAGATACAACAAACAAATACAGTTCAAATTATTTCAAAGTAACTCTATTCACTAACAATAATTGCTGGAACAAAATTCATGGACTACTAAAGCACATTCTAAATCTGATCTAAACAAATTCAGATTCCCACTACTCTCAGAAAGTCGTCTCTTTTTCAGTCCATCTTGTTTTCTGAGTCTAGACATCGCAATTGCGTGAAAGAAAAAAGCGCTTGCAGTTTGATACTGAAATGAATAATAATAATAATAAGAATCCGTTTTTGCAATTAATGAACTTGCACATATGAACGGTATCACAGCACTGAATTATTTTGCCGTGATTGTTTTTAAATCGAACAAACTTCTTGTGATTTTTCTCATCGATTAAGCACAATTGATAATTTTGTTCGGAACTAAAACTTTAAACTACGCAATGGCAAAATGAGGCACAAAAGTACCATGGCTTATACAAATTGTATAGGTTATGCTAATTATGCAATATCAAATTCACAAAACGCTCGAGCGAATAATCAGGATAGGTTCATTGCACTCGAGATGGAGAAAAAAAATAAGGCATAATGTACTTGCTAATAAACTCGGAGCGGAGAAGAAATGCAGAATAAAAATCGTTTTCTATGTGATGATTGGGATAAAATAGTGATAAACTTCTATAAACATTACACGGAGGAAATCAGTATAGTTTATCAGGTCGAGGCGTATATCCAACCGATAGTGCTCAAAAGGACGCTTGAAAGCATCTCATTCGATCAACGCTGTGCATTCAACGAAGCCGAAGCAAAGAAAACTATCATAGCAGAAACCAGTATACAGAGCAAGTACAAATGCAGAGAGTGCCAGAACAAGTTGCAGCGTCAGAATCGAATAATGCAGAAAAGAGGATCTCCTTCGTGTGATATCTTTCAGTCATGGATTTTTTATTAATCGTAAAAAAATACATCTCAAAAAAGAAATATATACAATTCCTCCATCTAAAAGAACACATTAATTAATCTTCTCGAAATATTTTACTTAAATCTGTAGAGTTTGTATAATACTTCCGCCGTTCCAGCGTACACAAGTTGTTTGGCAAGTTTTCTGCAGTCCCAGAATAAAATACGACCCAACGACTCAGTAATATGAACTGGAATAATATAAACTAAACACAAATTTTACGTTGCAATTTTTCGAGCATTCTTAATTATAGAGACTTCAGAATAAAATAAGTGTATTCTATGATTTAAAAATGGCATTTTCACACTTAATTTTGAATTTTAATTTTTTACCTGATTATTGCATTTCATCAGATAAATGAACACAGTTAGGAGTATAACTGATAGGCAATTTACAACAAACACTAATGTGACGTTTGCGAACAAAGTTGCCACGCCACCAAGCCTATAAATTTGAACTAATAAATATGCCGCAATTTTTGAGCTGACTTCTGCACTTTTTTTAGACCTAAAAAATTGTGTACTTTTTTGAACTAAAGTACCTGTATAAGTGTAGCAGCTTTTGTGCGCACTTCCTTCGTCGTCTTACTTGACTGCATCAGTTTAATATTTTCCTGATACAAAGTGACATTAGCGGAATAAAGATTTCACAAGATGAAATTTAAGCATTACAAAGACATAAGATGAAATTTTTGCTATACTTTTAGTATTCGTACAAATCTCTGATGTCTTTTTCGCAAACAATAATGTCGTATTTCAAGCTCACGAAACATTCGAATACGATCTCTATTGCTTATGATATTTCCATCTTTTTCGCTTGCAGCTTCATCAACTGAGCATACTTTTATAGAGGAAGAACTCTGAAATGTCATATATGCAAACACAACTGTTGTAAAATCCTACACTTTTCCCTAGTAAATTCATTATTTTTAAAGTTCCATCATTAAATTTCAAGCATTTCTGAACAACTGGTACTATTAATATCAATTACGGAACTTTGGAACTAAGATCTAACAAACAGAAAAAATATTTAACTCGAATGGTTAGAAGGCACATTCTGATAAATTTTAAAATATTTTAGTTTCCCAGACATTTAATTTGGAACCACAGAAAATCATGAACTTTGCTTTTTTAATTTTTCAAAACACTGCTTAACTGCAATGAAATTAAATGCAATCAATGAAAGCAAGAAAGCAAAGTGTAGAGGATGCTATAGTCAACTTCCCTTTTTTTTAAAAAAAAAAAGAAAACTAAAATTTACGTGAGAAGTGAGGCTTGCACTGAAAGATGTTCGTTCATATTTGGTTGATTTTGGATAAATCTCGGAGAACTTTTTACGAGCAATCCAACCACGAGCATATCGCTAAAATTATTGCGATAAAAGAATGAACCGTGCATTAATGTAGTACAGTTGCTTGAAATTAAGATTTTCAGGACATAAATATAGAACGAAATATTATATGAGCAAGTATAATTAAAGGATTTTACCTGTAAAGTAATTGCTGCATGCTCTCGCTTCTGAAAAATTTCTTCAGCTTGCATTCTACGAAATAATCTTTTAGCTAACCAAACTCTAGTATATTTCTGAAAATATTTTGGGTCTAACATATTGCCAATTTAGAAAACTAACTAGTTGATACCAAATTTGATGATTAACACTGATTTTGATTATCTAAGGTCACCTGCAGAATACATACAGCTTGTTCACGTTCTGACAGAATTTTTTCCTCACGCATTTTACGAAACAATTTCTTTGCCAGCCATGTTCGAACATATTTCTAAAAGTTAAATTCAAAAGAAACTTAGAAGAAATAATTTAGACAGTTTCGCAAACATTCATATATTCACTAACTTACCTGTATGACAATTGCTGATTGCTCTTCCTTCATCACGCTGCATTCGCGCAAAATTTTTTCACAGTTTGTCTGTTCAGGAGACCCATGAACAAACTTCTGAAAACAAGTTCATGTATAAGTTAATAATATAGGAAAACATTTCTCGCTAATTTCAAAACATATTTCTACAGTATGCAGCATTACATGCAGCATTTCCGAAAAAGTAAAAAAATTGATAAGCTTTCAAAAAGTATAGGGGAAAGATGCATATATACTACTATGCCTTTTTTCACTCATGAAAAACGAATGCATGAAATATGTAAAGCCTGATGTAAAATATTAAATTTGAAAATTCCCATCCAACCTTTCATAATAATAGCTTTCTTGCAGTTTCACAAAGAAAACAATAAGTCACATGTGCGTAACCGACTAACAAACATATGTTCAACGACAAAAATTTGGACATTTTACATTTTAACCTCATTGAAGCACCAATGATTATGAGGATGTCTTTAACGATGGAAATACAAAGATTTTTTTAACTATGTGCTTCTGTCCTTTTTTTATAGCGTTTTGTCATTTACACTTGTAGAGTGAGCAAATTTATTTGCATTGCCAGGAGTTGTTTGAGATATTGAAAATGCCTAGTCGAAAATTTTGTAATAAAAAATAAGCTATGAGCGCTATGCAGCCTGATGTTAGACACATTTGGTTTACAAAAAACTCTTTTAAAACCCACTTTCTAATCGATTTTATTTAATGCCAATTAACATATCGCGCTAATTAAAATTAATTCTACAATTTTTTTATAGCTCTAGAAGACTGATATTAGCAAAAAACGTTAATAGTAAATAAATTGTGTGCACTAGCAACGAACTCACAGTTTTTGCTGACTGCATTTGTTCATTAGCGTCATCAGAATGCATAGTTTTTAAAACCCTATTTCGTCTAAAAAAACGTTGGATTGTGACCGCAGCACTATTAAGTCTATGATAATCATAGACGTTTGATATGAAAATCTTTGTAAACAGATAAAGGGCCTTCTCATCAAATCCGCAATCTTTCTGAATTATTACAGATGGGATACCAAAATGATACTCAGCCTGTAAATCAGATTAATATGATTATGGAATAATTAACTGGTGATTTCATAAGAAGCATATTATTTTTGATAATAAGTAATTAAAAATAGCAAATAATAAATTGTTCAGTGATTAATAAGTTTTTTGGTGTCTCTAAACTCACAGCATTGAAAATTTTTTGCAAAACTGTGGTGCCATCAAACATTTCAAATGTTGTACCATATGAATAGTACCGTTTCCAAATCAAAGATAGCAGTTTGCCATCTGCAAGCTCCTGGAGACTTTCAATCTAAAAATTAAAAAATTGCAAAAATATAATGTTCAAGCAAGTTTTTCAAATCCCAACTTAATGTTCATAAAATTTCTTTCAACCTTGTAAGAAATGCCAAACAGATGTTCAAGTTCGTAAGATAAGGAATCAGCTGCAGAAACCCCATTGTCGACTTCTTTTCCAATGCCCTGTGAATGAAATAAGAAAGAACAAGTAACAAAAAATATTTTTAATGAGAATAATTGGATCCTCTAATCTCACCAACTGAACTCCAACAAAGTGCTCCAGTAATGATAATATAACATCAAGTTTTCCTTGCATCAAGCTGATTATGTCTACATGTAGATCTGAAATAACCTATTTAATATTTAATTATGAAGATGACAAAAAATCTTAACCAATCCCTTTTTGATAGTAAAAACTTTGTTTCAGTTGACTGATTTCACTTTTTTCCAGTTTGACTGATTTAATATTTACCATCTTACGAAGGTAATTTCAATACATACAATACTTTGCTTCGACATACTATAGCTCAGCCAAAATTAATGATTACCTTTTGGTAGTACTTCTTTTTGTTTAGCTAAATCAATTACTGATTTAATATTTGCCATCTTACGAAGCCGATCACCTCGTGGATTACGCAAACAGTTTATCACTGCACCATACTCCAGATTAGCCAAAACCTCTACTGCTCGACTGAAACCCATTTACTTCAAGATAAGAACAAAAAGCATTTGTAAATACTGCATGACAAAACTCAATTTTTAAAATATTTTTACCCGAGAATTACTCCATCATTTAAGTCTTTCAACAAGTCAGTGACATGATATCGAAATTCGTCAAGAAAATCTTGTTTCGAATCAAGGTCAAAACCAAAATAACGAAGATTTTTCGGCAGACTGCAACGACCGGCTATTAATTCCTTGCTTAATACCGCCACTACATCACCTATGCTCTGGAAATTAACTATTACTAATGAGAGCGACTAGTAAAAACACCACTGTTTCCTCTTTGCTTAAAAAATAAAATCTTTTACTTTGTAAGGAGAACTTCTAACAAATAGACAACGATTTCTCCTTCGAATTGGCCGATCAATCCATGCTTTTCCAACAATGAACAAAAATTGACATATCTTTGTTAAAAAGTTTTGTCCCAAGAGTTTCGAGCCACGATCACTTATAAGATTTCTAAAAGAGTAATAAGAGTTTTAAAAATAAATTAAAAACTAATGTGAGAGTTTATTTTTCAAGTAACTACATTACAAAAAAACCTACTTCGATCTACCCTTCACATATTTTCGATCATTCATTATTTTTGGATCCCTAAAAATGTACTGACTAATTACAGAAGCCAAAGTTTTCATGTGGCTTGTACTTCCAGCTCTGTCTTTGATTTTGATAGAGAGAATTATTTCCAAACCCAGTTGAAGATAAAATGGATGGAAGGTGAAAAATAACTTGAGTAGTTCTACTTGCAATCCTGAAATACGACATTTAATAATTTAATATTTACTAAATTATCTATCCAGAAAATTTTCTATTTTTAATATCGTTTGGTGATTCAAAATATAACTTTTATTTGTTGTCATTTTAACAGAGAATTTACCAATATCAGCATAAATTTTTTTATCCTCTCTAATTGATATGTGATCATTTTGTATATCCGAAGCAATACTTTCAGGAATAAGTGAGCTTTCGTAAATTGAAACAAATCTGAAACATCGCAGTCAGTAAAGATAATATTGGATCAGTACTAATTATTGACTGCAGAACAATTTAATAGATACTTGGCTCGCATTACTGTGAATTCCTTTGTGGTTATAAAATATTTGTAGCTGTGCATGTTATACAGTTCGTCATCATTTGGTGAATGACAATTTTCCAATAAAAGTAGGTGCTTCAAGTATTTATCAGCATCTAAAAAATTTCTCAATCAAAGAACATATTTTGATCAAGCAAATTCAAAAATCAGAAACTTCAACAAATTGCAAACAGCCACCTTCTTCATTTTCAAAAGAACCTTTATTTTTATCGAAAATTTCGTTCTCATCCAATATGTAATTCAGCCAAGACGTCAATGCAGATATATAAATTCTTTTCTTGTTCTCCTCTGTTTTATTGCAAAAATTTGAAACTTCTTTTCTTGCTGATCGAGCTTCAAAAATGATTTAATTCATTCTAGCAAATTTGAAAAATGAAGGAACTATATATGGAAAAAAACTTGGAGAACATGCATCAACAGATGAACTATCTTCTAGTTATGATACTAATTAGATCTTTAGTGTTTAACCTAAAAAATAAAATATAATGGTGGTACTCTTTAAGTCTGAAATATTATAGAATAGTTTAAAAATTCGAAAAATATTTTTTTCATTCAAATCAATGTTATTTAAAGAATAATTTGTAAAGTGTATATATTGGTTCCAACTTCGCATGAAACAAGTCAAAATATTCAAGTGAATAAAAGTGCTTTAAAGCGACGAAAAATCTAATTTTTCGCATAATGTTTAACTTACTTCGAATATTATTCTTCCTTAATTCATTTCGCTCATTCAATATTCTGAGTTTATTTTTCATTTTTGCATTTAAAGCTTTATTACCAGGTGAGAGATGCAACAAACTTTCGTGTGCACTACAAAAGTCTTTACCTGAAAATGAACGTATTTAATCAAAATTAATGTTGGGAGATTAGTGATCCTGCAATTCATGCTTCTGTGATTTCTATAAATTACAGTAGTATGTAACCTATTTAACCCAAATCACCCTGAAGGAAATATATATTAGTGATAAGAAATTATTTCTGAATTAACACAAAAATGTATACCCAACAATGCATGTCGATTCAGTGTATATTTTGCAGAGTTGCACTGAACAGCAGTAAACAAATCATTCTGCAAAAATTTGGGAAAATTCAGATCCCTGTAGAATCAAACAATTATGAATGTAAACACTATAGTGTTTGAGAGAGAATTATACAACACTGGTGTAATAAATACTATAAAAACAAAACGCTCTTAAAAATAAATCATTTTTATGAAAGCCATTTCCGTTGATGTTTGATGAAACTAAAAATGATCATGCTTTTGAAAACAAATGAACGAAAAATTGAATATGTTGCTAACTTCTTTTTCGATTTCTTCATGCAAACGAGCAAGGCTCTGTGATTCGCAGTAAACAGAATCAGGTCCTAAGCCATGTGTATTACTTTTTTGGATTTCAGAAAATGAATAAGGCGCATGACAAAATGTAGATGCGACCTGATTTGACAAACACGGTAATGAACAGAATTTATTTATTGCAGAGTTTCCTGATTTTTCACCTAGAACAATTCTCTGGCAATTTTAATCATTCATAACAACAGGGCAAGATTTTTAAAGATAGCACCGAAATATCACTACAATACGTTTCTTTAACCGTATCCAAAAAATTTTTACATGAGATTTTTATTTGCTTCAAACTAGCAATGTAAATTGAAATAAAAGTTTATCAAAACAACATTTAACTGTTTCAAATTTTCGGTATAACGTAATGTCAAACATGTCAAATAAAAAACAGGAATATGTAAGGTTTCTAAAATGATTATTGCAACAAACGAGAAAGCAACCTTCACAGACATTTGCTTCACAGGTACTTTCCATCGATAAAAGTTTGTCCTCTTGTTCTTCTCGATCCATATTTTTTCGTAAAAAAATGGCTATTAACCTTCTACTGCAAACATTATGAAAATGGCACACTTCGTTACGAAGCAAGGGATTTTTTTCTCGGAAAAAGTGAACATAATTTAGTTATCTTAGAAATCATAACTAACAAAGCTTTAACTCTGGGACTAGAACAAAATAAATTTAGCACTATTTATTGACTATTTAGATTTGACTGTTTTAGGTAAGAATGAGTCACTTGCTAGAGAATTACTGAAGAAAATTAGAGCACTATTCGATCTATTTTTGATAAATATAGCACAAACTAAAACACATGTCTCTTATTTGCTTAATATTATTACATAAGGTATGTATAGTTTAAATTTACATATTAAAGCTAATCAAAATCAATAACAGAAAGAAATTAAAAGAGATGTATGGAAACCTCGAAAAGTTGATGCTTAATTCAGTTGCAATTTGAAACAGATAACTAAAAGAGAAGTTTAAATGATCCACAATAATCTCAGCTCAATCAAAAACAGCAAAGCAACCGCTCGGAATCTTAAAATATTGCTCAATAAAATAATTTTTGCATAAGTTGCACTTATTTGGAGCCAACTAAAAATTTGAATTTGAATGCAAGTGTATCATAGAATGCCGCAAGATTCAGTCGTAAATAGTAGCTTTCAAGTGCAGTTTGATAATTGATTTTGTTATGCTTATTTGATTCCAGCGGAGTTGCGTGAATTGTCAAAATATGTTTATACGTCTATTTCATTGCAGTTACGTTTGGTATACGTCTATGTTGCAATGAAATTTGCTTTGGAAAGAAATTATATGATATGTGTTCTGTAATTCAATTTAACTTTGTTTCACAATTTTTAAGAACTTTTTGTTCTTTCTCATTTCTTACAACAGGATAGCATATAAAAAGTTAGAAAAATAGAATTTATCACTAGAACTCGGAACTAAGTTCAAAAATTAAATCACTTGAAATACCAGTACGATTGTGCTATTCTGCTGCAACACATGACATCCAATATTCAAGTGTTACTTGGACTAGGACACTGCTATTATTGTATTAAGAGACGGAGCAAGGTTGAGTAAGTATTTGCATGCGGTAACTGTTCTCTTAAGGTATTGTAAGATTAGGTGGGGAAGTGTTATTTCTCTGTCGGAAACAGAAGTATACATGTGGAGTTCATGTCATTTATTTATGGTGATGCGCCACATGCAGGGAGATGATCCAATCAGTAATATCAACCTAGCTTTTATTTGAATTGATTGTAGCTTGTGTACTACTGCATAATGCTCAAAAATACTCTGGATAAAGTGGGCAAGATTCCAAATATTAACCTTGTAAGTTGCTTTAATTTGCCTTTCGAAATTTGAACAGTTTTTTCATTAATATATTCTACAGACTTACTCTTCGTTTTGGCAATAGTGGAAATTTAATAACAAGCTGAATAATAAAGTGATATACTACTTTTGGCTTCAATATTCAGTATGCAAAGTAATATGCTCTTAAAAATCACAGTTTTCGAAAATAGTATTCTTCTAAAAAGTGCTTTGTTGAAGTTTCAGATATGTACAGTCATGTCAAGAGCGAAAAGTTCAATAAAGTTATTGAATCCTTCTGCTGCTTGGTTTCCGGAAGTAGGTGTGTGTAAGGACAACAAACCGATAAGATTAAAGCTGAGAAAAGGCGAGAAGTACTCTTGGTGCTCATGTGGTTTGTCTGGCAGGCAGGTGAGTACACTTGTTCGCTTGTCAAATTTTCTTGTTCTTTACATTCTATTCAATTATGCCTGAGGTTTGAAGGTAGACTTGTTACCCAAACAGCCGGATACATTTGGATTTACATTTTCCTTGTTTATCTATCGACATTTCTTGTAAAAATTTCTGTTCACATGTAATTAGAATTTAAGCCTTGGTGTGATGGTAGTCATCGTTCAGAAGGCCTCACAGCTCTAAAACCTTTGCATTTTGAAGTCGAAGCAGACGGTGAATATAGTTTATGTGGATGTAAGGCTACTCAAAATCGCCCCCTTTGCGACGGCCGTCATAACAAAGTATAATTTTATGATTAACTTGATTATATATTGCGAATATGGGTAATTTTCTTAAACTGGTGTTAGTTTCTTTTAAAATAAAAAAGAAAATCGTTATTGTGCAATGGACTGCCCATCACTGAAATATGAAGTTGCTGCGTTAATTAGATTAATTAATAATTTATCAGTCTCTGGGTAAACGAAAACAATTACTTGTAAGCATTTTGCTCATTTAAGGACTGATTTGATACTCTTCTAGTGGAAACATCGCTTTAATTACTATGAAAGATAGAAATTAGCTTCTTTTTCTTTATAATGTAACGCAATACTTCTAGATTTTGATTTTTTTTTCTTTTTTTGCACAAATAGTTGTGAGTATTTGAGGTATGATGTATAGCTTTGTATCATTTATAGTAAGTTAAAAAGGAAAAAAAAATTACAATAAAAAAACGATGATTTCTAAGTATAAGCTCATTAAACAGACAGTTTTCTTGTACAGATAAAACCAGTCAGTCCAGAAGCACTAAACGATTTGAGTAACAGTCATAATATTTCACCGAAGTACTTTTAATATTCGAAAAATTGAGGTTCGAAAGACGCGCAACACTGATCCACCTCAATTCTGTGCATATGACGAATCAGCAGTGTATAGTGGCGAGGCTAACAAGCTCGGATATAAGCCGAAGCAAGGACGCTGGCACTTTTAATTTATCAAGTAGAAATTAGCTCCTTACTTTCGTAATGGGCGCAATATTTCTAGTGTAAGAATAGAAGTAAATTCATTAGTAGTTAACATATATCTTTTCATCTCATTCAAGTTATCGATGGAAATACAGTGGAAACATAAATACCGTCTATCGAATAACAGTGTGCCATATACCTTTCAAAATGAAGTAAACTTAACAAATAGTAAACTGTTCATGTCAAGTTCTAAACTTTTTCAAACTCATCAGTGTATTGTCCTTTTGCTGCTAGAGCATTGAGCTTTGATCTGTGTAGAAATTTGGCTTGAACTTCTTTGTCATGCATCGCCCACGCCTTTAAAACTAATGTTTGTAGAGCTCTTCCATAACTGAAAAATACCTTTAACTTCATTGCGCTCGAATTCTGATTATAACCTCAATATATGTACAAACATGTGAACCTGAAAGAAATTTTCCATGGTTTGTATCTTGGCAACTTATTGATTTCATTTAAATTTTTAGTAGCATCAGTTTCCAATTGACCTCCTGATAAGAAAACAATGCCGGGAACTGCTGGAGGGACTGTCCTCATTAATGCCTGTAGTGTTTCAGCAGCAACTTTCTCATGCCCAACCTCAAATTCACAAAATTCAATTCTAGACTAGGATTGCATTTTCTAGATTAAATCTAGTTTTGAAAAGATTACTATGTATTAGTAATGCAGTTCTTTCTCAGATGCTACATTCGCAGTACTCACAGAAAAGGCAATAAATAAATTTTGGACTGTTACTAATTTTTAAGCACAGGAGAAAGTAATGAATTTTCTGAAACAACACTGAAATTACCTTCGTGAAATCTAGCCCTGGTATAACCATATTTGGCTTTAGGAGTGTACCTTCAATGAAGACGCCATAGTCATGAAGCGATTTATACACTTGTGCCAAAACTTGCTCCGTAACTTCCCTCACTTTTTCCAAATGATGCTCCTTGTCACAAAGAACCTGAACTTTGATATATGTGTGAAGTGTGGGCCTGCTACGTTTCATAAGAGATGTTTTTAAATTAAAAGAATCAGACTTCGAGTCATAAAAAGAATCCATAGAGATACAAAATACCTCAGGTTCAATTATTGGAACTAAGCCTGCTTTCTGGCTTATAACAGCATATTTAGCAAGTATTTTGGCATTTGTTTCCAAAGCCTTTTTTGAAGGTGTAGTTTCGGAAATAACAAAGACACATCGCCATTTCGCAAATTCACATCCTCCTGATTTGAAGGACACAGCTCTCTCTTTTAAATCATTGAGACCTGCAGGAGAATTAAAGATAAGGAACCTCAGCCATTTTCTATCCAGTAATATTCTAAGCGAATCAAGCTAACAGTACTTGGTATTCAGACTTGGAGCATGTTTTCTGTAAAGGGAAAATACAAATTGCTACCTACTGTGATGTATTCTGAACTCCCATCAAAACTTTGAAGTCCTTTATCAAGTTTGATTCCTGGAGAAATGTTAGCCCTCTTAATTATATCGACAAAACGGACACCCCCGTTATCTTTCTAAAATTGAAACATAGACTTTTTCACAAGCTTTCATGAAAATTCAACTTTTTATTTTGTCATGAGGTTATTTCTGTAAGCAGTGCAATATATAAAAAAAAAATTACTAATCACCTGATGAAATGTTTCTTCATGTAGTATAATTCCCGAAATGTATTGCGATATATTGGGTGTCGTGAATAGCAGATGCCGATAGTTTCTTCGATTTTCCTCATTATTTTCTATCCCAAACAATTTAAAGCGCTTGCCAATCGTATCTAAAATGAAAGAAATCAACAAAGTGCCCACAAAACTAAGAAAATAACAACGACGTGCAAACGACCGACTCGTAATAGAAAATTCTAGCTTCCACGGGAAGCTACTTTACGTCTTTATACTTTTACATCTCCATTACTTTAATGCTACAAATAAACTCTTTTTTCTGTATTTTAGTCATTCTGTACAAAGAAGTATATCTCACATGAGAACTCTGGAAACTCTAGGCGATAAACACAAGTTAAATGCGCGATATTGTAAAAATACCTGTAGTATAAATTTAATTATAAAAAAGAACCAATGCTTTCGTCTGCTGCTAAAATGCCTTTTCCAAAGTGAACAAGCTTCTTAGCGATAGCATGCAATTCATCTTGTTGATTTCTGCTTAATGCTGGCGTTAAGAATGCCTCTTGTGTACTGAAGTTATCGTTTTGATGCCAAGTTAATAACGTACTTATAATAATTACTACAACTGCGTCAATTAACAACCGACTAATATTGCAAGACATTCATACAAATTTGATTACAACTACCTGAAAATTTTACTTCCTGTTCCATCTCTTTACTTTTACACTGTTCACTTCTAATTCTATTAAAATATACATGTTCCAGAATTTAATTTAAACCATCTATTTCGTTTGAATTGTTTGTCACATAAATCTGGAAGATAAGCATAACATCGTTAAATATCCTGTTTTTCACTACTTGAATTGAGAATATGAACTCAGAGCTACTAATTGTACGAATTGATACATTTACAGCAAATATACTGCTGATGATCATAACTACTGCCACAATCATTCAAGATATACGCTAACTCCTAATTTTAATGAGAATGATAAATTGCATTGTGGCATAGTCATGGTGCACTATTATTGAAAATTGTTACATAACACTACGTTGACAGCATTTAATGGTTTCATATTGAACAGCTGCGTTAATTTCGAATTGGTTGAATGGAAAAATTAGGTCTAAGCAGTTTAGTGCAACGATTAGTTTTGTATAATGATTTCTCCGGGTGTGGTTGTTCATTGTTCTCTCTTGTTAAGTGTATCTTGCAGGATAAGTTCACGCGTTTTACTTGAATTGCTCTCTCCTTACTCTCGAAATAATTATGTAGCAAAGATCTCAGCTGTCTATATTAACATGACGAATGTAGTTCATGATGATCTCATAGAATCTTGTATGGTGTTTAGTTTACCAATAAGCAAGCATAATTTATTGTGGTGGTTGTTTCAGGATAATATAACTGAAAACAAAATGCAGATATTTGTTAAAACTTTAACCGGCAAAACAATCACTCTTGAAGTAGAAGCATCTGATACTATCGAAAATGTAAAATCTAAAATTCAGGACAAAGAAGGCATTCCGCCTGATCAGCAAAGACTCATTTTTGCAGGTAGTACCTTCTTTTTAATGAAATCTTATTTGTAAAATCGAAGGAAATTACTTTGGTCAAACCTCGGTAGTGATGACAAATCATAATTGTTCAAAGGTGTCCTGGCCTATGAGAGTACCATGACTTATAATATGCAATTCTGAACCGATAATGTAATCATCACGTAATTTATCTTCAATTTATCTTTTGAAATATTTTGGTTAGCTGATTCCCGAATGCATTACACTTCTACAAGTGTGTTGTATGAGGACGGACCCAGCTTTATTCGTATTTTGATTGTTTCTAACAAATAGGTAAACAGTTGGAGGATGGTCGTACGCTATCAGACTATAATATTCAGAAGGAGTCTACACTTCACCTCGTGCTGAGGTAAACTTTCTATCACCTACAGAAAAACTGCCATAATATTTTTCGTGGTAATGAAGATAATTTCTGCTTTGGTGCCCTGAGTTAATGAATGACATATAGCTCTCAGAACCACATTCTTAGCGTCCGAAAATGATCTCCTAATAAGTAATACTCGATAATATTTCACATTTCTTAAGATTGCGGGGGGGAGGCAAGAAAAGAAAGAAGAAGGTGTATACTACGCCGAAGAAAAATAAGCATAAGAAGAAGAAGGTCAAACTTGCTGTACTCAGGTTTTATAAGGTAATAATTTCTTGATTTTTGTGCTACAGTAATTTGAAGTAGCTCCAATTCATTCAAACTTTGTTGAGTCACAATTGCATTGATCAATATTTTCAGAATCTAGTCATGTTGTTAACTTCAGGTTGATGAAAATGGTAAGATCACTCGCTTACGCAAAGAATGTGCATCATCGTCATGTGGTGGAGGTGTCTTTATGGCTAGTCACCAGGATCGTTATTATTGTGGCAAATGCCATCAGACTTTAGTGATGCAAGACCCGAAAGAAAAATCTATCCGGGGCAAATAATTTTGTATGCTGATGTTAAATATATTTTGTGATAAATTTGTTTTGGTTTGTTTCTTTCTGGACATCTACATTATGAATGCTATGGTGGCGGTATTTAAAACTTATTTAACACAGGGATTGTGTCAGGAAAAAGTTCGTTCTTTGCTACATGTTAGGATGGAGTCGACCGTAAGCCCCTAGAAATTTCATTGGCTTGTAATTGACGGTTTATGATAGCTTGTTACTTGGGTTTTTCTGTAGGCTTTCGCCTTAGAAATGTTTTGTCCGAGAAGATTAGATGAGTAGATGGGATTAGTTTATCTTACATGAGTATTACAAAAGACTCATTGCAAAGTGAGTTTTAAAGTTTAAGACTAAGTGTGACTGTAGAATTGAAATGAGATGAATGGAGATGGCAAAATATAAGACAAATTAGGATGGAACATTATAAACACATAAATGGTACAGTAAAGTTTTGATAAATCACATTGAGACGGATAAGTGAAGCTACCGAGTATGGGATTGATTTCATCCGAAAGTAGTGAAGGGGATTTGCATGGATCAGCATGCAAGCATTATTTGCATTGGGAAGAGTGAGTTTGATGTAATTATTATGGAAGGGCTGAGTCATGGATCACCTGAGGGAAGTGGTAATTTGGCTGAGATCCCTGGACTGGTTTCTTACAAAAGATTCGAGCACTAAGTAGTTGACATTTTCCTTTCACTTGCGGATGACTTAATTTTGAAGTGCAGATCGTTAGACTAAGCTCTACGTCTAGTCATCAAAGCTGTTCTGAAGCAAAGTGTCATAGCCGACAAGTTGCACCAACCACAGGAATATTGGCAATTTTCTGCCATCCATTGTGGTTTTCGAGTGCATTCTCCTTGCAATCGCATATATGGACATGAAATATGTCGATCAAAGCATCCTAGAAATATTTAAGTTCTATCAGTACAATAACTAAAATACAGTAAAAAAATATCGTATCACATCAATGTGAGATAAATGCAATAATTTTACATTAATAGTCAAAGTAGCAAGTTTAATTTGAAGCTGTTATCAAAGGATGAGACTGCTTGTGATAATTACTTAACTGTTACTATTTTAGATCATTAAATCAATCAATGATTAATAGATTTGATTGATGTCTCAACTGAATTAACGTTAATTTTGATGTTAGATTATTAATTTAAGCAGGAAAAGACTTAATCTTAATCACCTCGCCATGCATTAGTTGGATTTTGGCAATATCGACAACTTCTACGGCAGTACATTCTCATGTATTCTACATTACTTATGCACTCATTTCGCGCTGCCCATAAACTGCAGCAGGGGTCGTCGTTCAAACACGTCGGCGTCGATGTTGCCCTCATTAACTGTCAAATTTTTAATCATACTTTTTGTTATTTTTGATTATTACCTTACCAATACGTTTACTAATTATACAGAAACACTCCTTACTTACGTTGCGTAATTAGCTGAAAAATTATTTTATTTTATTGTCAATTTTTAATATTCATGCATATTTACCGCGCTTGTTCGACGAGAAGTGTTATTTCTTATGGGATTTGTTTGCATTCTCGGGTTGATCGTATTTCGAGTGGGTTGTGGTATGAGTCGATGTTGAGTCACAGCAGCAGGTTGAGCTGTGATGCGAGAAGGTTGAGCTGTGATGCGAGAAGGTTGTTGCTGGTGTGTCGGAGTTGAAGTAGTTGTTAGCTTGAAGAAAAAAGCAACAGACTTTGCAAGTTTAAGACTTATATACCATTAATTACTTTTGTAAACTCAATGAACTAAAAATTTGATAGTAAATTTGTTTAATTTATTTTATTTATTTTGGACTTGCAAAAATTGCATTACTTACAACTTGAGTACAGTAACCATTCGTACATATCCCCATATAGCACGCATCTTGACCTCCAAATTCAGCACACCTTTTACCCAGCTTAATTTTTGTAACACATCGTGGAGATCCATTTCGGAAATCACAAAATAAAAATTTTGATCCACAGTTTCGTTGCTGTCTACTGCAAGTTGGTCGTGGCGCATATGTATACAAGTAGTCCGTATATGCATTTGATAGACCTTAAAGATTTACTGCTACCATTTAGAGTAATTTATTTTCTAAAAAGTTTGAAGAAGAAATAACATTAACTGTGTAAATACAAGTCACTACATTTATATTTTAAACTAAACTTGCCTTGTCGATTTATCAGATTAAATGGACGCATATTAGCATTAGCAAAATGCAGTGGTGTTGTGCAAGTTGTAATTTCTTCTGGATATTCCTGAAATATAAATTTATTATAAATTAAAAATAAAATTGTAATTTGTCAATTCTTTCATGATAGCAATTATTAAAAAGTTTGATAATATTTTAGAAACTGCAAATTTTTCTTCAGTTTTTCCAGACAATTGTTTGTTAATTATAACACTATTAAAGGATAGAATTCCAATTCAGATCGTACTGTATTTAAAATACACAATATAATGTTAACACTTTCTTTACTTATTATTTTACGATTCTTCATAGATGAATTTAACATTAAAAAATAAATTTTATTACTAAGCATTTTTTTAAAATTATTGTAATACCATTACAATACATTGTCACAACCAAAGTATGTTTTCCAAGCAACGATAATACAATATAGAAAGTTCATGCATAAAAGTTTAAGCTTACTTGTTCACGTTGAAACCTATTTTGATGTATCTGACGCCACTGTTCCATAATGTAATCAACGAAAGAATGATGAAGATAGAAGACGGGGTCATTGGCTGAAGTTCGAGGAGGTTTCATATCACCACCAACCCAAATATGAACGCTAGCATGATAGTATTCCAAAGCAGAGAAATTTGGTGGATATGGACAAGCTAAAAAATTAGTGATAATTTCTAATAATCACACATTGTCAAGAATGAATTAAATACAGGCTATGAAGATTGCAATATAAAGTTATCTAAATAAGATTCAATATCAGTCTTTTATTTATTAGCATGATATAATTTATAGAAAAGATTCTTGTAAAAGTTATGCGTGATGCCAAAAATTAAACAATAATGTCAAGTAGTAAACATGATTCGTTTCAAACTTGACACTCAGAAAATTCAAATTATTCTGATTAAAAGTTAAAAACACTACAAAATTTGTGATCCTTCTTGATTCTTAAAGTCTTCTGCATATTTTAAAATGAGATAAAATCAGTCTTTGAACAAATTATTAGTATATAATGATGATGTCAGTATAATCATAACAAAGCTTTTTATGTTATATTAATCTATATAATTATTACCACCATCAATAACCAAGCTAAAGTGTTTGTTTTGATTACAGCTTGCCTTGTGTTGGTGCCGTATATGCTAATATCCCATCGATTGAATTTTTGGCCAAAACTTCTGCAATATTTTGATCCGTGAAAAGATGTCCTTCTGATCCAAGTCTCCTGAATTACAATTTACATTTATGCCACTCTTTATTTGAAAAATTTTTATTATTTTTATTGCAATTGTTGATCAAAAATTAACCGGGTGATTGCTGGTTGACCTTCTAAAGTTGTAAATCCTGCAAATGGTCCATTGATAACTCTTCCCAGTGAATCAGTCTCTCCCATTAAAAATGAACTCCACATTATTGAATCTTGAGGGTTAGGTAGATGATAGTCAAGTGTTGAATCCCAGTAAGGTAGCGCAACCGATGGATCAATTAAACGCAATGCAATTTCCATTCTATGAAAAAAAGTGAAAAATTTTTTAAAAGTTTTAGAAAAACTTAGAAGCAATTTTAGGCAAAATAAGGAAAATAGCAACTTTGATAAGACTTGTTTACTTTCCCTCAAGTAATATGCAAAGGAACAGTATGAGTGCGAGGTGAGCGAGACTGAATATCAATCAGTCTGCCTGACAAGTATTTTACTTACAAAATTTTGAAATTAAATTCTAAAAAATAAAATTTGAAATTCAAATTTTCCATTCAAATTCAGAATACTTTCATTAATTTAAGTAATTTTTTACTTTTTCTGCACAAATTTTAGTCTTTTAGCAATATTTCATTAGTACTTCAGCACTGTTTCCTTTTTTTAAATGTTTTTGTGAAAGATAAATTAATTTTGTGAAGAGAAATTATTTTTCAGACCAAAATTTATAATGCTTTTTCATTCTTCAGAAAACTGTACTACGATTAATGAAGTGATAAGTATTTTGAACGTTTTATTAGCGTCAAGATTATTAAATTAATCATAAATTTGGACAAATTTACCAATTCGAAGTATTTTCCAATGCTGTCAAATTGCGATTCAAAGAAAGTGGCGTGTATTACTGAGCAAAATAACACAGCTAATTTTCAAATTTCTTATGATCTAAAAATATACAATACCTTTTCATAAATTCTCGATGCCAGGGTAGAAATGATGGACCTGAATGTGCTCCACTTCCTGTTGCTTCCTAAATATTAAGAACTGAAATTTATTTATGTCAATTTATTATTATTATTATTAGTTATTAATTATAATTGTGTTATTATTAATTTATGGTTATTGCTTATACTTATTCTAGTGATTATATGATTATGTTGGTAAGTTGGTAAAGAATAGATTCAGTCAAGTAACACTTTGATAAGTTACATATTTTTTTAAATATTAAAAAATTTATTTCCACAGCTTTTTATAAATTAAAAAAGTTATTGAAAATTTAAAAGCCTGAAATTAATTTTGCTGAAATGTGCTCATCTAATTTTTACTTAACTTTGATACAAATACAAAAATTTCAATATTTATATCGCTGTAACCAAAAATTTTTTAAAAATTATAAAAGTATACTTATGACTAGTTTAGCCTTCAATTTTCCATAAAATATGTAATACTTAATTTAAGGCAGAAAAATAATATTACTTGTTAAAAATGTCACTGACTTGATTTACAGTAAAAAAACGATCTCCAAAAGTTAATGAAGGATAAATTATCGTTTTAGAGCCGTACTTGTTTATGGATTACTGCTAAACGGTCATATTCACCAGAAGCTTTCAATTGTCGAACTGCTTCGAAAAATCTATGTCTTTCATCGTCAGTTAACACACGTATTTCTTTACGTACTGCTCGTTGTAATGGTTGACCATTCCGTAGATGGCAAATTCCATTCGGGGACAAACCACCCTGCAATAATTCTTTCCTCAAACTTCAATTTTTGCTTTTCAAAAATATTCAAAATGAATGTTTTCAATTAAGTAAGTAATTAAAGTAAAATTTAAAAATAATTTCAATAATGAAGCAAAGTTACTCCAAAATATGGGCAAAGACATCTAAAATCCATGCAGTCGTAAACTGATGGAGCGAAAGAGGCTCTGTTAGGAAGCGCGGGCGAGAGTTGTAAATTTTGTGGTACGGATGGTGCGTTGACGATAAGTTTAGGACGCATAGCCGCGACTGCAAGGTCACGACGAGCAGATATATCAAACTGACGCAACTGTATACATACGTCCACAAAACCTAACAATTACTTTCTTATTTGTTAAAAAATATAATTTCAAAAACTTTTTTTATACTGTAAAAGTTCTTTTACACTGTACTAAAAGTGTTGTATTAGCGAATGTAAAATTGAGTTTATATTTTTTGGAAGCAAAAAAGGTTGAAATTTTCGAATTGAGTTCAATTATTCGATTAAAGTAGAAGCAAAGTAAAACTCAACCACGTGGCGCTTGGCTACAATCAATAGACATCATTTGTTGTGATCTGCCAAATGACACTGTAAGTGTGCTGGTAATTAGTATTACTCGTAAGAAGATAAATGTCAAGTTGCTGCGCAACTTATTCATTTTAGATTGCATCTGAAATTGTTTCTTCTGTTGTATTCGAATGTATTAAATTATATGATTTTTCATCAGAATAGTTTATATTTTTTGGAAGCAAAAACAAGAATACAATATTGCAATGTATCCAAAATGATCAAATTATTCTCGCAATAACTAAAAATTATCATTTATCAATTATTCTTGTAATATATTTGAGTACTCATTACTTATCACACATATACATTAAACATTGCATGACAGTAATATCAAATTTAAAATAAAAATTTAAAAGTTTAAATAAAGTAATGAAAAAATTTTAAATTGTATTCTGTTATGCATGTTTGTTCAAATTGAAATTAATACGAAATCTTATGCAAATTGACGAGAAAGAAATAATTGAAATGACTTTTCAGTTTAAAAAAATTTACCAATTTTACAATTGAGTTAATAACAAAAAGTTATGGAAATTGAGCAAGTATAAAATTGAGTTAGTGTTTTTTTGTTTTGAAACAATTCAAAATTAATTTGAAATTAAAAAGACTTGTAATTATTTTTGAACTGTTTCAAAGTAATAGATTTTCGCTCCCAATCAAATTTTCCATAATTTCTGTTTCCAAAAAACTTTAGTCTTAGCATCGGAAATGAAATTTTAGCCAAAAAATTTTATCGCTAACATAATTATCGAGTAGGAAATGTTTATTCATGAACTGATTTCACAATTAAATTATTTTGCTATAAACCTTTGACCTTTTTTGTTTGTAACTGCTATTACATTTATTCATTTCCATGAATTTACTGTAATAATGTGTCGTATACTGTACTAATAAAAGTTACAAATTGTAATACTATTACGGTGCAGCTTGTGTTAAAATAGATCGAAAAAGTAAAAAATGTTTTGTTTTTGAATTTGGCGAAAGAAAAATTTATTTACTTGAAAAATATCATTGCACTATTTTAAATTAGCATTACTACTATTTATAACTTTGAAAAACTCATAGATAATTTGACATTTGTACTGTTTTGCTCTCGCAAATTATATGTCAAATCAACTTTGAAAATATTTTGGGAGCATTTGTTATCATTGAGAAAAAATGCGTGCAACAACGAGTGCTGAAAAATGTCGCTGATAATGCCAACAGTCTGATAATAATTTATACTATTAACTTCTTATCAAATTAATACAGTTTTTTCATTCGAAACACTGAAAACAATAGAGCTAACATTTCAAGCTGATTTTGTGTGCTTTTACTTGAAGGAGTTTTGATTAAATGTATAAATTTATACAGCAATAATTAATTAATCAGTTTACTTATTAACTGATTACTAGTAAATATATTGAAATAAATTAAGTGATAACAAAAGTGTCAGAATAAATACATGTTTTTGATTAAATGTGTCAATTTATGTACAACAGTAATTAATTAATCAGCTTACTTATTAACTAATTGATGTTAATTATATTGAAATAAATTAACTGATAACAAAAGTATTAAAATAAATACATGTTTTTCAATGCTTAAAAAAAAACAGTAAAATTTTCGTGCTTATTTTACAAATTGGTATCAAAATTTATTTTAATATTATTTGATTTTAATTTCTTTGCATTTATTTTCACTAATTTGATAAAATGCACTAAATGAAATACTTAATAAAATTTAAAAAATTTGTAAATTTGATAATTATTAGATATTTAAGTAAGCTTTATCCATATACTTCACAACTTTAATTTTTACCAATTTTACCAATTGCGCACTTCAATAATATTATTAGTGCTCATAATTCTATCTATCACTAAACATTTTTGCAAATGACTGACTGACTAAGTGATATGATTAAATGATAACATAATAAATAATCATGTATTCAGAATCAAAAATACTTCGCATCAGTAAATCTTTTCAGAATTAGCGTTTACTTCTGAAGAAAACAATAGCCAAAAGTGAATAAAATAAATTTTTTATGAAAAATTTAAACTCACAGACTATTTATTAAAAAAAAAGCGCTAGCATTCAAAGTGTAGTTGACAAAATATTTGGAATGCATTGTGTTTTGGCTTTGTTTTGTGAAAATAGTCCAACTGAAACTTGTTTTCATATACTATTCTCATAAATGTTTTACACTTATTTTAATGATGCAATTACGTTCTCGAGAAAAAGAAAAAATCAAGAATATTCATCACTCTTAAAGTAAAGATTGATTATAAAACATGAATGTTTTGTGTGAATACTTCTCCGAAACTGTATTTATTTCAATTTGAAAAAGTATACAAAAGTTAACTTGCAAGATATTTTGATCAAAAATAAAGTAAAAAATTTACAAAAAAATCAAAATAGATTCTAAAAATAGATTCTTGAAATTAAAATTTTTTCATGATGCTGTGCTTTTGACTGCAGGCTCTATTTAGTTAATAAAAAAGTATTCGACGAGATTTTAAAATTGTATAATATTTGAAACTTAAAAACTAAAGTATTAATATGTATACTTATTTATCAATGAATATATTTAAAAATCAAAAGGTTTCAGTAGATTATTGTAAAAGTTTTTAATAAGTAAACGTTTAACTTAGTCTTGAATCAATTAATAAAAATTATCATATATTTGAAATTTGACTGAACTTTTCCAATTCATCTAATCATTGAATGATTGAGTAATCGCTTATTACATTAAATATGGCAACTTTTTAAGAATGCTGATATTTTTAACTTTGTTTTAACTTTCTTAACTAAAGTTAAAAAAAGTTAATTTGTCTGCATATTTCTTTTAATTTTAATTTACTAACCAAAAAAGTATTCAAAAAAGTACTGAATTTTTAAATTTCAAAAACTATTACTTAGTCACATCACATTTCATCTTTGTTTCAACGATAAAAAATCAGACAAATTGTTGTTTGTTTTTAAAAATACAACAAATAAGTACTCAACAAGTTACTACTATTTTTATTATTATACTAAGTAACATTTTTCATCTTCAGCATACTAATATAACTTTCACCATCTTATTTATCCATAATTTTGTTTTTTTCACACAATTATGTTAAATTATTTACACTTACTTATTAAGTATTTTTCTGCCTAACCATATTAAATAGCAATAAAAATTAAATCAATTATGAATTACTTATTATTATTAATAAGTTAATTTAATTAATAATCAACTACTAAATTATAAAAATTATTGACAAATACGGTAAAAGTTTTAATTTATTGTGAAGACCAAAAATATTATCAATTACACAATTGCAAACTACTGCAAAAAAATTTGTAACAATTCATTTTAGTTGCATTATTTGATTAAAAATTTGCAAAATTATCGATTTAATTAATAGATAAAACTTGAATTTGTTATTATATTAAATTACTGAGCACTAAAATAAGTGCTTGTTTTTGTTTTGTACAAATCGACTTTCTTACTTGAATAGTAGTTGACCTTTTGTTGAGTAGAAATGAGACACAATCGTCTCCCAATTGAAACTTATTTGATGTACAAAGCCAATTTGCAAGTTTGTTTGCTCAGTGATCAATTTCTTTACCTTTTTCAAGCTGACATTTTACAGTACTAGGTATTTTTCATTTCAAATAACTTTACTAAAATAAAGTTATACCTAAAAACTGCTTTTTCTTTAATACACAATTACAGTAATCGAATTCTAATACAATTTCCATATTTGGTTATAAAATTTATAGCACTTAGGACTGCACTGTTTTTTCTTCTCACTCAAATATAATTCAAAAATAGCCAATTTTGGTACAGACGTTGATATTTTTTCGTCACTTTACCAAACTGAAATTAAATTAGGCATTTGAGCAAAATGAAAGTTAACTGTACGCTAATGCTTACTACAAACACGAGAAGTGAGTAATATTAAGAATAAATTTAAAATTATAGAAAAATTTTGCAAAATTTATAAAAAAGTTCAGTGACATCAGTCAAGATTGTAATCTATTTTTGAATCCATTAATTTAAATCAGTGCTGTTGTACTTGAATTACTTTTTTCATTATAATGTAAAAAAGTTATTCTTGTCTCTCATTGATTTTTTTTACTTCTTTCTTAGCTGCATAAGTAAGTTTCTTTCTATTTTAAAATAAAAACTAATTCAAAAAAAAATCATAGAAGTTGATCAAAATTATGATCAAATTTAGTATGCTTTTATTTGTAGATATGTGAAATTATTGTATGTGTACACGTTGCAAAGATTATTAATTTACACTTTATTAAAAAGCATAATAATTGAATTATAATAATTATAGCAAAAAATCAAATGGAAGAACAATTATGAAAAACAAATATTATTAATAATAACAAATTATTTCAAGTTGGAAAGTTTTCGTTTGTTATGTGTATGACAACTTTCACACGTCAAAGTGATAAACAACGAAGTAGCTGTCAACAATTGATAAAATTTTGATTTTTGTCCAAATTTAGCGTCAATTTTGTTTTTAACTGATTTGTTTTTACTTAATTTCTTCAAACTTTTTCTTTATTTATCGAAGTAAACACAAATTAAGTCTCAATATTCTTGCAGTTTTGCTATACAAACATGCAGTGAAAATTTGCAGCATAAAATGAATATTTTGTACTTTTTAGCACAATTTTCAAATAATCTTCACTTTTAAGTAATAA